GTCTGAGGACAGAGGTTTGAGGTCAGTGGTCTGAGGACAGAGGTTTGAGGTCAGTGGTCTGAGGACAGAGGTTTGAGGTCAGCGGTCAGAGGTCAGTGGTCAGAGGTCAGAGGTTTGAGGTCAGTGGTCTGAGGACAGAGGTTTGAGGTCAGCGGTCAGAGGTCAGGGGTCTGAGATCAGAGGTTTGAAGTCAGGGGTCTGAGGACAGAGGTCAGAGGTCAGGGCTAAAACAGGTCATGTTATGAGCAGGAAACTTGTTCAACCAGATTTAAAAGGGTCAGCAGGTTTCTGTCAGGGGTCAGGAGTCATGTCTTAATAATTGAATTTGTGAACCTCTCATGTCTGCAGGTACCATCCACAGTGAGAGCGGTACCAAACAAGCGGATTCTGGCCCTCAGACAGAGGACCCAGATGTTGTGGGATGCCTACTTTTCCTCTGTGGACCAGATCGTTTTGACCACACTGGAGGTCTGCTGAAAGCGCCGACACCTTTAAGGGTTACAGCAGGTTTTTAGAGGTTTTGTTGGGATTGTTGCTCAGAAACCAGTTTTATTGCTGCATCATATGGTCCACTGGTGTCCTGCATTAAGGATCCTCTCAGTGGTTCTGAAGGAGGCCTGGTGAACTGAGCTGAGACTTTGATCATTGGTCTAGATCAAAATAATTATCTGCTTCACTTCCTACATTTGTTCCTGATCAGTCTGGCTTCTGAAACAGGAAGAGTGAGACAGGTCCTTATCTGCAGACAAAGGTTTAGACCTGATGAAGGTCCTGCTGACAATGAAACATGTAGAACAGAACCTGTATGGTTAGCACATGAACACTGTACTCTTCAAGGTGTTCCAACAACCAATCTTTCACTCTGATTACAGTCTGCTGCAGGGTTTATAGACCTCGTTGGAAGAGTCTTATCTAATCCAACTGAGTGTATTGGACAAATACACCAACATATCTGCTTCAACCTGCAGCTTTTCACCCAGTTTTTTCAGACTTTTTGATGCTCAGAGGACTTTTCTGAAACACAGAACAAATATTCACCTAACTCCTCTGGTAATGTTAAGTGTTTGTGTCAGTCTGAGTTTGTAAAGAAGAAACAGCACATTTATCCAGCTGACATGTGAACAAGTCTGAGTGCAACAGAGTAGCAACTGCTGGCAGGGATTTATTTTCAGTGAAATAAGGTGAAAGGTCTGGTTCTCTATGATAATCTGCTTAAATTCACACAGCAGCTGTGCAGCTGGAGGTCAGGAGGGAGTTCAGGTACCGCTGAGGTCCAGTGGTTTAACACAGAGCTCCAAAGTAACAATCTGATCCTCCATGTGACAGGAAAACCTATCCAACATGTCTGTCTTTCTGTCTGTTGTCAGATCATCAAAGATCGAGTCTTTCCACACACATCAAGAAACCGGTACATGTGGAACTCCCTGCCAGGAGGTCTGCTGGTCCTACCTGAGTACTCCACTCACCTGGCACACTTTCCTTTTTACTACCTGGGATTAGGTAACCTCACACATCACTGAACACTGAAGACCTGAGAACACGAATCAAAACCAAAGAACATCTTAAGAACTGACATTCGGCCTGTGTTAGTTTTCAATCAGAAATTCTGACAGTTTTGGCCCGTATTCATCAACCTTCTTAGAAATACTCTCAAAGCCTTCAGCATGGTGGATCAGCAGCTGAACAGATGACGTGCAGTCACATGGTTGTTAGGCCTTTGTTTTCACACACACCTTCCATAGCCTCTGAGACACACCATGGTAAACCCCTCCCACTGCAGTATACATCACTGCATGGGGTTTCCTCCTGCTGGAGTCTACAATGCAGGGAAAACAATCACCCGACATTATTTATCCACAAATCTGTCCTGTTTAAAGCTCCACGGTTTTTATCAGACAGATTCCACCGTCTGTTTTATCTCCATTCATACGTTTTTGACTGTTTCACTATATTTATATCGCTTGCTTCCAGGTAGCCTCCAACTATCGGCTTCTGGAAGCGAGTCTTTTTTTAAGCAAGCGGTTGAAGCGAAATGCAGCATCTGAGCACTTTCTGCAGAAACAAACACTCCTAAAAACTCCTGACCAATCAAACTGTAAGTTCTTATGTGAAGGGAGGTAAAACGTTCAGCCGGTGGGTTGTGACAAGAAGGGACCGAAGAGTTGATGCTGCGAACAAAATGACAACATTTTTGTCATGAAGCTTCAACAATCCCATCAGATTTCATCAGTTCGGATGGAGCATGCTGGGTGAACAATGTTAGGAAGGGACTTAAGGTTAAAGAAATTCTTAGCTAAAAGTTGGACTTAAAAGTCAATCATGAAGCAATTCTCACATTAAGTGAAGAGTAGGATTAAATGTTCAGTGTCAGTGATTTATGACACTTTGCTGTGCTGCAAAGCTGATCCTGGATGATGTTATAAAACTCCTGGCATGGACAAATCACTGCATCGCATTTCATGTTCAAGAAGATTTTCAGAGAAATGTCAAAATAAAAGTGAAAATCCTAAGATAAATTCAGATTCAACACACTAATGTTCATGCCCATCACGTTGTACTGATCGTTCATAAATGACACAAAATTTCCTCATTTGTACCATGAATACAGACAAAATTAAAACTTTTTTCAGTTTTCTATTTGACTTAAAAACACTGACTGAATTAAACTGTTTTCCATCTTTTTATCCTGTAACCATGGATGAATACATTTCTTCTTCTCTGTTTTATGGTCCCATTCAGGACTCAGTCCGGCTCAGGAGTTCACCGCTGTCATTCATGCGGTCTCTCCACTGGTCTCACAGTCACAGCCAATCATGAAGCTGCTTCAAGTTGTCTCCAAGTCCAAATATTGCTCACAGGTAACGTTGGAAGCAKGAGAGGATGTGCTGAAACATTTAGCTGTGTCTCTTATTGTGAGCTTGTAGTTCTGCTGCAGATTAGCTGCTGTTCTCTTGGACCCAGTTTGGTCCAAACTTCAGCTGACTGTAAATCTGTAAACTGTCATGTCAAAACTCGGGTGTGAAACAGATTAATTCTGTAGTAAAAAGATCATTTTTAAACTGTGACTTTTACCTAAAATCAAATGGTTTTTTTTGTCTTTCAAAGACCTTGAATGTGTGATCCATGCTTTATTACGTCTCAGCTGGATTATTGTAACTCTGTATGTTGGAGTTAGCCAGGCTGGCCTCTCACGCCTGCAGCTGGTTCAGAACGCTGCAGCTGGTCTTTTAACACGGACCAAGAAGTGTGATCAWATGTCCCCGGTGCTGCTTCCCTTCAGTGGCTCCCTGTGTGTTTTAGAAATGATTTTAAACTTTTACTGATGACCTATAAGGCTCTGAATGGACTGATCCTGAACACCTGTCTGACCTCCTGCAGCCCTATGATCCAGATCTCTTCGATCAGTGATCATTTGCTCTGGGCGGTCCCACGGTCCAGACTGGTCCACAGAGGTGACCGAGCCTTTTCAGTTGTGGCTCCTGAACTGTGGAACCAGATTCCTCTTCACATCAGACAGGCCTCAACTCTTGGAGTTTTTAAATCTCATCTTAAAACACACCTGTTTTCAAAAGCTTTTAATGTGGTTTGAGATTTGGTCTGTTTTTATGGTTTATCATTATTTATGTATTGTCCGTAATGCTTTGTTTTAATAGTTGCAATATGTGAAGCACTTTGGCCAACGGCAGTTGTTTTTAAATGTGCTATATAAATAAAGTTGACCTGACTTGAGCTGTCAGGCAGAGAAGTTGTTGGTCCACTCAAAGCATTGACCCTCCACCACTGTGCTGACAGTTGTGACACATCACATCACACTGAGGATTCAGTCATATTTGATCAAAATGACTTCAGCACATTTTCAGATTCCTGCTTTTTAAGCTACAAGTTGAAACCTGGATCATCCTGACATCATGAGCACTTGCAGATATATGCCTTCTTTTGTCTTAATTACAAGAATACATTAAAATTTGCACTGAATGCTATTTTAGGTTCTCTTAAAGAGGAGGTTTTGATGTAATATTGATTGATGATGCCTTTATTGTCATTGTACGGAGCTCAATGAAATTACATTTAAGAACACCCATTCAATTTTATTATGTAGGGATATGCTGTTGTCGATGTTATGGACAATATTATATTATAAATACCTCGTAATTATTAGCATAACAAAAGGGGCACCACCTGTTTATTACAGGAAATAATTAATTGATTTT